CAAAGTGATAAGCATATGGTTTTGAACGAACTGTGCATGCATATTTTAATACTAAATTAGTCGAGAAAGCCCATAGAAATAGTATTTAGTGTAATGTTATTTTTTTATGAAATTACACGCGGGTTAAGAATTGTTTGTGTAAAATACTTTGCAGATAAAAAAGTAAAGTTGAAATCGAAGCTATTTAGGTCGAGACAATTGATCTGCTACTGCAGTCATGATCTGTGAAACATGGCAGGCTAGTAGGGTGATATGATAAGAGTGGTTCTGAGAAAGGAGATCCAAGGTTCAAAAACAACGTTCCCCCTTAATAAGCCAACGACATTGTGCCATCGTGTACCATATTCGTCGCATTGAAAAGTTTGATTAAGCAAAAATCAGGTAAGGTGACTGACTCTGAATTGAAAAGCCAATATGCAATCTGTACTCCTCCAACAAAGATATTTCTAACAATATGAGAATTGTAGAATTTGATCGATAGATTTACGATAAAAGTTTCGGACAGACAAATGCAAGCATATTATTTATTAGCATAATCCCTGTGTATTTTTGTTTCTTTTTGATTGGGCACTTTCATAAATACTCTTAGTTCTTCAAAGGTATAACCATTATCTACTTAAGTTAATTTTCAAGTTGACTAAATAAAAATGAAATATAAATAGTTAACTAACAACTGCCTCCTGCCGGAATAGGTCAAGAGGCTGTCTGTCATCTTAAGATGATCTAATAGCTTCACACTCCCATTAAACGTTATGTAGGCTGTAGGACTATTGGCCTAATAAATATAAACATGACATAAGAGCGCAGCATATGGCTGTAATCTTAAGTCAGAGAAACAAACGAGCTACACGAGGGCTATCTGCGCTAGCCGTCCATAATTTGGCAGTGTAAGACTAGAGGGAAGGCAGCTAGTCATCACCACCCACCGCCAACTCTTGGGCTACTCTTTTACCAACGAATAGTTGGATTGACCGTCTCATTATAACGCCCCCACGGCTGAAAGGGCGAGCATGTTTGGTGTGACGGGGATTCGAACCCGCGACCCTCAGATTGCGAGTCGAGCACCTTAACCACCTGGCCATGCCGGGCCAACAGACAATGAGACAGGAAATAACTTTTATTTGGTAAATCTGTTACTTACCTCTTTAAAATTAGATTTAAAAGTAGGAATGTCTAGCCACCTAGTAGTCTAAGACCAGTGTTTTTTGGTAACTGTGATGAGGACGAAAATGTCTATTAACAAAAATAAATCATATCAGGAGCCCGTTGTTTAAATGTTCCTGACCAGCTAGGTAGCTTGTGGGCCAATTATAATAACAAAAGAAAAAACATCGCCGATTAAAATGTTAAACATTTCACCTCGTCATCAAACGTACATTTCTATAATTTATTACTAAATCCATAGTTATATCCTCATCTCTTGAAAGTATAATATTTACTTCAATTTCCTAAATCGAACAAACCTCTATCTTTCTGAGGATCCCTGGCCTATTTTTAAACATTATGTAAAATCCCTATGACGTGTGAAATTAAAAGGAGGTTCCCTGGAACATTTTCTCAATGGAGAAATATTTTATCTTTTGATCAGTATTAAAATAGTAATTTCAAGTTACATTATTTTTGTGCTTATCTGAATGAATTAATACAAAGATTATGTACATTTCAAGAGTGATATAATAAAAACTATTGTTTTAATTAAAGGGTTTTGTTTAATTTTACGTATATATATGTGCTCATAGGTATCTAAAATTTGGTTTTTCTTTAAAAAATTTTAATCTGCAGTTGGTAAAATTGAATTAACATTTCTGTACATGTTCTTGGAATGGCCCAGTTAAGCCCGATAGAACCATTTAGAATTTTTGTGACAAACCTATTAGAAATTTTGCGAATTTTGAAACCATGTATATTGTTACGTCTCCGTTCGTTAATTGATTTTTCCGTAATTTCGTTCCAACGAAACTTTAACGACACAAGTCTTTACTTAATAAAACTGGTTTATTTATTCCGAATATAACTTTACCGATACACTCAACTTCAACAATCGTGCTAAAACAAACGCTATATAAACGAACGTCAATAATACTTCTGACTGCAGATCAATTACACACTGTCTACACACATTACATTACATTCTCCTCCAGCGTCACGTTGTCCCCTCTTATATATACCCGACTACCCTACATCTAGTAAATACTAGAGCATTCGCCAAAGTACAAAATAGTTCTAGAACGTGGCGTCACAGTAGTCATGTGACTCGCTGACGCAACAATATATTAGCCGTTAATTGTACTAGTAACTATAACGAAACAGTAAAGAACAGGACCCGGCATGGCCAGGTGGTTAGGGCGCTCGACTCGCAATCTGAGGGTCGTGAGTTGGAATCCTTGTTCTACCAAACATGCTCACCCTTTCAGCCGTTGGGGCGTTAGAATGTGACGGTCAATCCCACTATTCGCTGGTAAAAGAGTAGGCCAAGAGTTGGCGGTGGGTGGTAATCCCTTCTCTCTAGTCTTACACTGCTAAATTACGGACGGCTAGCACAGATAGTCCTCGTGTAGCTTTGTGCGAAATTCAAACCAGTAACGAACAAAAAAATATAAACATTTTCATAGCGTTTTACATTAGGCGTACATTTTAGCTAGTTTGAAAAAAAAACTGACATTCCGCTTTCGTTACATTGTTAACTACAGTTTTGTCGTAGTAACTTTTTATTTATTGGACCACTTACTTTACATAATTACATATATTATGGTTTTACAAACATCATACTGTTACGACATCGGAAGTCACGTGACGTTAGTAACACGTGATGAGTATCTAGAAGATTCACGAAAAGACGAGTGTAATCTAGATGTACGCTTTTATAGTATATAAGCCGGCAAATAAAGTGACGGCAAGGATAGGATTCCACACAGGTAGAGACAGAGACGGACAATTGAGTCAAGTTGAGTTGAGAAAGAATAAACTAGTTTTATTTAAGAAAGGGCTTGTGTCGCTGAAGTTTCTTCGGAACGAATTTCTACGAAAAATTAACAAACGAACGACCAGAGTCGTAACAATACGAAGAAAAACGGATTACTTACAGTTAGAAAAGGCATTGTTCCATGATTATACAGCAGAGGCATCGCTAGGTACTAGAGAGATTCGGAGCTTGAGCCATAAGCGCACAGAAGTCAAATTTACAAAACTCAATGTAGACACAAATTAAAAGTATCTCAGAACACACCCATGTATGCCTTTGAGGTTTCATAAACACAACTTTTTTTAATTATTATTAAAGTATAAACAAAATTACAATTAAAAGCAGGTCAGGCTTTAGTTCCTCTCCCTTGGGGGGGGGGGAGGACAGCGGAGCTTTTGTGGGGGCTACCATATAATGATATAACTTTACAGGAAAGGTAATA